TTGCGTTTGGGAAACCTTTCAGTGAAGTGAGAGATATCACACAGAGGAGGTACTTAATAAAAGCATCAGACTTGTTTTTCATATTCACAAGCTTTAATGATCTGTAGACACATTTTAAGCCTTGTGGTGAAGATGTAGAGTTTATTATTCAAACACAAGTCATTAAAAAGCTATTTTAAAAAAACACAACAAATTCAGTCAAATTTGATGATGTCAACAAAAGATGCACCATCATGTACCAAATAAACACTAATGTAAGAAGAGGCTTTACCATTATTCAAGACTGACAAGAGAAAATTCTATTTTATATTATTAATAGGGCTGTCAAAAAATATGTATTGCGATGAATCACTGAATTTCAATGGTTATTGGGATTAATTGCATTTTTAATCATGTTTAAAATATATTATTTTCAATTTAAAAATACAAATTGTTAGGCTTTTATTCTGAATTTACGTCATTTTTTTAAGCTGAGAGTTCTTTACTTGCTGTCTGAAATCAACCATGCTTTTATTTTGAAATAAAATTATGCCCTTCTTTTAGATAGAAGGTTACAACATTAAGTTAACCACAGAAAGAAGAACTTGTTATAGATAAAAAGCTAAATGAATACAGCTAAAGAGGACAGTTAAAAAGTGACAGTGATGTCATAAGTTAGATTTTACTATTCACTCGTCAACTGATCTGTTTGAGAGTTTGTTAAAAGTCAAATGAGACGATCAAAGATTCAACAGTCTAGTTGTTTTCATCACTGTGACTACTGGGAGACGCTGAGGCTTATCCACGGTGTGCCTAAAGGGACAAAATAGCCTATGAGATCTAAACCAGACAACCTATCAGGGTTAGCTTGAAAGGTTCTGCACAAACCTGCATCATCAAGCTTCTGTGACCAAGACAATAAGCCAGTTGCTACATTCTAACGTTTGTTTTGTTTGTACATTGATGGTCTGTTAGTGTGTCGGTCCTCTTAGTCCAACACAATGAGCTGAATGGAACAGACCGTTTACAGTGACAAAGTTACGATGGTTGCAGTTCATGTTTGGTTCACTCATTTGATGGGAGTGGCTTAGCGGAGTGATACGAGGTAGCAGAGGGAAAGGTGGAAACCATTTTCATCACATTGGAGTGTTCATGTTGCCAATGCCTACAGCCACTTTAACCATTTTTGACAAATTTAGATCAAGAATCAATTTTGTCTTCACAGTAAATAAAGACTTTTATTTTGTTAAATTCAGGAGGATTTCAGATTAAGTTTTGACAAAAAAAAAAAAGTCTTACATTTATAAATATTTTGTGAACATCGACACAGTAACAACATTTACTGATTTTTTTAAATTTATTTCTGGAGCAGGAAAAAGATGGAATGAACTTTGCAACTTCAAAAAAGCAGCAACACACTTTTTTTTTTTTACAATAAACAACCAAAATCATAAAGTAGATTACAAAAACATTTCAATCATCAGTTAAATCATTTATACAGACATCCAGAAGTTATTAGATTTTTTAAACATTTAAAACTGAGTGCTACTAGATAGGACAAGAGAGGGTGATAAGTTGTTCACCTTTAGAGTGTTAAGTTGCCATTTGAATGATTTTGTATTTTTCCAGTGTGGTGTTCATGTGGCCCCCGTATTAACAGAACAACCCCACGGCCCCAATGTAATCTGAGTTTCAGACCCCCTGTGTATATTTATAACTGTACTATTTAACTTGTGTGCTTTTGTGGTACATACATAGAGGTTAAGAAAATACCTTGCTGATAATGATATGTGCCTGTAATGTTTGAATCTGTGCTGATCTCGATGGTGTCTAGACTAAGTGTGTAAAGCTGCAGCATGTCGATCCTCTTGCCTCCCTCTCGTCCCGTCCCCGTTCCTGGGAAACAAGTAACATGACATCACTGGGGAGAAAAGGCAACACAAAAATAGCTGGACAGCCCAGTTCCCAGCCTGGACCCCAGCCTGGACCCCAGACCGGACCAAGGTTCACAATGTGTTTTCAATGTGTCTGATATCTGCACTAACTACAGTCTTCTCTCTCTCTCTCTCTTTGTCTCCCTCCCTCTTCCCCTCTTTGTTCCCGCTCTTTCATCATCTTCGTCTATCCTCTTTTCTCTCTCTTTTTCTCAGACTCTCTGGTCATGGAGGCAAGGTCACACGCTCTACTCTTGGCAGGCTGCAGTGTGCGGAGCTTTTGCAGGTGCAGGGGATTATATGCTGCTTTTGGGAAAGAGGCGGAGATGGAGAAGTGGGGAAAGAGGGGGAGGATGAAAAAAAAGAAAAGAGGGAGAGATGGATAGCTAGAATCGATGGCTGGATGGATGTGTGGATGGGTGAATGGATGGCCAGGAGGGCAGAACAAGTTTACCCAAAGCCACATTCTTGTTCTCTTCCGCTAAGTTGAGATCAGCTGACAAATCACATCCTGTTGCACAGTTGATCAGAGCTGAAAGAGAGGATAAGGTGAAGAAGAAGAAGGAATGAAAGGAGGAAACAGGAAATTCCATCCTTTTCTTCAACATTGCTTTCTTACAGTCCTGTCTAAAAAAAAGTCTTAGCATCACTGCTCTCAAGCTCTTCAGCAAATAAAAGTCATAGCATAGTGGACTTTTATACTTCTGTCTAAGCCTGGATGAGTGTCCACGTAGAAACAGACAACTGAAGGAGGAGAGAGCAGGGATAAGAGGGGCCAGATCTCACAAGGGCCTCTGCAGCTGTGCGACCTCCTGAGCACTGGGGCCTGAAGTGGTTCAAGAGGGAAGGGGAGAGAATAAGGGCCGGAAAGGAGCCAGAGAGGGGAAGGGGAGTGGAATAATAAGAAGACAGAGGAAAGGACAGACAGTAACTGGAGGAAATTAAATGAAACTATTAAATAGAAGCAGTAAATACATGAAAAAAGGCCAGAGTCTGAGTCTGTTGTCTGTGATCATAGTTTTTTATGTTCAAAGGATGTTGGGACAAAGGTGTAAGCGGTATCAAGGATATAGTTTTATGATAAAAAACAACCTGGAAATGATTAATCTAGTTTGAAAATTAGAGAAATTGTTCTCCTTAGTTTCCAAAATGCAAACAAATTGATGAAGTAAAGATAAAAAGTGATGCAGCAGAGTGGTAAACAACTTTTTGATGTGTGTTTCTGGCAGCAAATTCAAATTAGGCATGTCGTTTTCCAAAAACAATTCAACATGTGATGGTTTGATAGATTGATAGACTGTGTGCTATTTTTAGATTTGGGGATTAAATCATCACATGCTGGTTTTATTTCAAATGTGCAAAATGTCCCAACTTGACTGAATTTGGGGTCGTTAGTTGTGCATTTTTAGACAGTTTTGTATTTCCCAACCTGTGAGTTTGACGTGTGTCTGTGATGTTGCTGTGTAGAGCTGCACGTCTGACAGAGGGCGATGCAGCAACACACAGCATGCAGCTTCAAGGACAAGGCTTTTTTAAAGTTTATAGAGAGGAATTGGCAGGTAACAGAGGCACATCAATGATTTCTATTCATCATCAGAAATATCCAGAGTTACAAAGATACATAGTACGTACCTTTACTGTTGTAGGTCTGGATAAAAAATCTGTCACATCATCAATCTTTCCCCTCAGTTCTCACCTTTCACACGTTGAAAAAGCAGAACCACAATGAAAATACATATTTCAGAAGAACAGATCCGCACACACCGGTCTGTGTTGGACGGTCATAGCTCTCAGTCCATAACTCTTACGGCGCTACAATGTGCCAGACAGCACAGGGAGCTTCAGCTTGCTGCTCCTGGGACAATGGAGAGATGGAAAAATGGAGACGGAGGTGAAGGAGAGGAGAGGGGATGAGAAAACAGCACCCTGAGGAGCTGAGACGTGGTCCTGCGCCACCCTACCTGGACCTGGAGAGGAGAGGAACGAAGGAAATGGAATTGGAAAAATAGGAAGAGGGGGCGGGAGGTGTAGATGAGTGGGAGGCAGAATGAGACCTTTAGAGAAAAATTCTAAATAAAAGACTTGGAATAGATATGGAGCAGAGTGGAGTAAATAAAAGATTGAGAAGACTCTTAACCCGTTTATAGCCATGAATTAATTTCAGAGCTGCCTGCCCCTAACATCATCCTCAGTTGCTCCTTCAGACATGTCCCTCACAGCTCCCTCACAGTGGGAGACAGAAGGGGGAGTGTTTGGAGGCTATCTGTGACGGGAAAATGATGCTGCGGAGGAAGCACTGAGTGATGACACTTATTTACTTTATATCAATGCATTGATGTAATTGGACAGATTTAGTTTAAATTGAAGAGTGTAGTGTTACATCCAAACCGGCCGCCAAGTGGTCGCCCAAACTACCGTGTTTACACATAAACTCACCCAAACTGTTTGCAGAACTTTAAGTGAGGGGCTGACAAAGTGGGAGTGACAACTCTTTTGTTTGCATTCAAACATGCAGCTCAAGAACATTTCTGGACTTGTTTTAGGAGTTTTGGTCTTGTGTAAAAAGGGGATTTAAAACATGTTTCAAGCTTTCAGAAATAACATTATTTCTCTTCCAAAAATGTTACCCCTAATAATATAGGAAATATTAGAAAATATTAACATAAAGTGATTTATCATCTGAGAGGTTGACGGCTTACTAACATGCCCTGTATGTTGATCAAATTCTAATAAGGTTGAACATCAAAATCTTAGAAATTCAAGGGCAAACTGAGGCTAACAGAGGAGGAGGGGGGGGAAGGAGCAAGGAACTGTGGGGTTGGGTGGTAGTATGGGGACTCCTGAGTCCAGGGCAGGAATCATGTTCATGTCCCTTTGTGACCGAGCTGCTTTCCAACAGGGATCCTCAAATTTCACTTCCCCGTACACCTCGCTTCACACTCCCCTCTTTCACTCATACATAATCTACTTGACACTGGAAATGCTCACACAGGCGTGTTTAATCATCCTGAATATCTCCACTCACACCCTGCTTTGACTTACGACTTACTTGACCCTGGTTGAACCGGCCTCGGAGAAAAACAAGCT